ACGGTCAGTGCAGTGTATGTTGCACAATAATGCAAAACAAAAATACTTGACAGTGAAAACACCGTACTCTACATTCCACTGCTGCCATCAAAAATAGTGAAGTTAATTATGAGTGCGTATTTCACTGTCAAGGTCTACTTGATCGAATTTATCCCAAAAAGTCTAATCCAGTGTTCACCGACCTTCTTATTGGGTCCGCAGACCGGCGAATTTCCATAATTTTTTTTGGTGGACCAGCAAATTCCCAAAAACTGTCTGTGGATTGGCGAAGTTTCATAAGAGTTTTACAGACTTTAAAAAATTGTTCTTGATAGAGTTTGTGGCAGGCATATAAAAGTTTCTGCTTCTTGCAAAAATTAAGTTGAGCACCTATATAAAGCAGCTATAGCTGTGAACGATAATTTTTTTTTTTTTAGAAAGATGGGCTTTCATAAAGGTTCATTATGAAGAAAAAACAAAACATTTTATTTCAGCAGATAAAAATGTGTCTGCAGTGTTATTAGGAGAAGAGCCAACTTTTATTTATCATCAAATGGTTTCAACTACCATTGTTGTTCTCAAAGTTTAATGATAACAGAGTTTATTCCTACTTTTAATAAATATTGTATGCCGAAAATTTTCCTCAGACCGGCAGAAAACTTCTGCAGACCACGGGTTGGGGAACACTGGTCCAATTCCAAGGTTAATTGACAGATTAGAAAAAATAAACAACCTTGAATAGTCTTGACAACAACTTTGGACAGCTCTCAAAACCACAACTGGATGCATTTGTCTTTTCTTCCTGCAATTCAAAATCTAGATGATCTCTAATACGCAGAAATCAGATCTTCATAATTTATTTAAAATCCAACAATGCGACATGAACTATTGAAGGTCAACGCAATATTCGTGTCATAATTTAGGTAATTACTTTTATGACGTGAAGAAATAATTGAAAGACATATATCTTGGGAAAATATATACCTTCATATAGAATGCTTCATATTTCAATGAATTCACATTGTGGCGCTGGATTTTGTTTTCTTGTTTCAATATTGCAGTTCATTTACGAGTATTTTTAATTATACCATCTAAGATGCCGGAAAAGTCTGGAAACTCTCGACTTTATTGTTTGGCAAGCAGTAAAACTCCATGACAACAAATCTTGGCACAGTGCATGCTTGTTATGATGAATATTTTGTTATGACAGTTTTTCTGGGTCTTGGCAGTTTCTAGATAGGTACCATATTGGAAAAAATCTAATTTTAACAAAATAATTTTAAGCCATTTGGAATATAACGCATTTTTGTCCTATTTCTGTGCATGGGTCACGAAAACTATTTGATAATTGTCAGAAAAAATCTGGCTTGCGCACTACAGTTTTCAAGTTTCACAGAATAGCAAAGCTTCCTTCAGAGAAAATTCAACGTTCCAGAAAATACACAGCATGACATATTTCTTGGAAATCCTTTGTAGTTCCATCTGGGAATGTTAACTTTTCTTCCAAATTAACAATATCTCCTAGAGTATGTTCATACAATATATTTGAAGTTAATGAATGAATAAGTTCATTTGGAAGGAAGTTTTTCTGATGAGTCTATCTTTTGTTAATTTTTTTTACGCAGACATAAAATTACAGAAAGGTAGGTTTATTATAGAATACGTACAGCTGTACTGATTCACTGTATATCAAACATTTTCCTCTTAATTTCACCAAATACAAGATTCCAACATTATTTAAAGACAAGATTCATACATTATTTAAAGACAAGATTCATACATTATTTAAAGACAAGATTTATGCATTATTTAAAGACAAGATTTATACATTACTTCAAGACAAGAATTAATATGCATGGTCTTGAATTATCTGTTGTGGAAGCTCTTTGCAAAATTCAACACCTATTTCTCGTACAATTTGAGTCTGAAATGTGCTAAAAGCCACAATTCCCTATACAGTATTGTATAAAGTTTCAACTAAAGAAAAATCTAAAAATCCAACAACTAATGTAAAATGTGAAGTTGATGCACAATGTATACCTGATCTGATGTACAGTACTGTAGAATACAGTGGTCTTTTTAATCCCGCAGCTGCAAGAAATGTCCTACAGCACGAGAGGCTATACCGTGGAGGCACATGCCATCGGCCCCCGCGGCGAATATTCCTCCACGCGTTGCGGGGGTCCCGAAGACGTGCCGCAGCCCTACGACGCGAGGAACACTTACATTCCTGTCGGAGCGACATCTGTTGTTCCCGTTTCCGCGAGCGACCGATCCGCCGCCGAATACACGACCCTCGAGCCCATGTCGTACTCGTCGAACCAGCAACAGCAACTGCAGTACATCAACACGGGATACGTTTACAATCCGGCCACGGGCTGCTACGAAAGTTCTGCCTATCAGACCGTGTCAGCCTATGGGGATTCGAGAACTCAGACAGTTCATCATGCGACTGTCTCGTCCGTTTACGACGGGTCTTCGTGTAAGGATGCTTTTCTGTGAATATGACTGCGGTATTTACTCAAGTATTGTACCCGGTGCACCTTTTTTCTCAAAATTGAGAGGGAAAAAAATGCGTGCGCGTCATAGGCCGGGCATAAATTGAAATTTTTGCAGCAGTTTAGGTGTGAGCATTATATTCAATTTTAATGTGGAATTTAGGACCAATTTCTACGAAAAAAAAAATCCTGCAATGGAAGTAAATTAAAATTCAAGATCAACTTGTGTCTAAATGCATTGTTTGGGTCTTCTTACTTTTGGAAAATTGCAGTTCTAGAGTCACTAAAAATGGGTGGATTTATTCATTGAGGATATAACTTTGATAATAAAAAAAAATCACCTGAAAACCCTGGTGCTGTTTGTCTTGAGCTGGTGGTACTTAAGTACATTATATAAATACAGTACAGTTTCAAATTTTTAGCCTGTCACTGAATACAAGGCAAGCCTTGTCAATACAAATCCAAGCTTAAAATACTGAGCTTTACCTTCTACATATTGTTAGCACAGGTGGCCCAATTGATGCAATGTCAGAAAATGCCTGAAAATTAAAATGAGACCATTTGGAAATTATGCAAGAGTTATCTTCCAAAAATGTCGCTCTGATCATGATTTGATATACAGTTGAACCTCTTCAAGTCAAATTTGAAGAGACCAGCAAAACAATTAACTCAAGGAGATTTTGAGCTAGAGAAACAACTGTTTTTGCCTTAAAAAAAAGAAAAATCAGAGCAAGTTGAAATATGTGATCTCTGCTGACCCAAAACTGTCTGGTAAAAAAGTTGACAGGATGCTAAACTCAGAGGCAAGGGTTAAATTTCCCAATTATTCTTTCACTTCCATTCAAAAATCATCATTGCATTTTTATTGCTTTTCTCATATCCAAGTGACAAAAATAATGGCCAGAATGCCTCCAGAAAATGTGAGTTTTAGAGAATTGATGGACATTTCTTTGAGATAAGGAAGGTTTTTGGTAAATTGTTTCTAGCCCTTCTGCTGCGAAGGGTTCTTTCCCATTGCAGGACTAAATTGGGATTTTCTTGGATGGGCCTGTGTTTCATATATGTTGAAGGCCATGAAAGCCCACCCAGGTGGTCTAAGCTCTAAGGCAAAGTCAGACTTTGTCTGGGAAAACCGGTGTGTTCAGATTTCCTGAAGTCAGACTTCTTCTGCAAATCTAGCTATTCTTCTGGTGCCAAAAATGGAAGAATTTAGAGCCTCCCAATAACAAAACTAATCTAGTCAGGAGATAAAAAAAAGCAAAGTCTTGGGGATGGTTTTTTATTTTTGAGTGAACATTTTCTGTGCTTTAAAAAAAATTCACAGGATTTTTCCTGACTTTGCCCTGGATGCACTGTCCTGTATTTTTTATAAATCTGTTTTTGCAAGAACCAAATTTTGAGAAAAAGTCTGACTTTGCTGCCCAAGGGCCATAGGGGACTCAGACAAGGACTTGAAAAATATTTTGAAATAATGGCATATGGGGGTACAGTATTTGACTTAGAATGGTTCAAGTCATTACGGTTTACCATTGGTTTAGTTTTTGTGTGTGACATTTGTTCAGATGCCTGAAATTGCAGAGTTTAATCATGTGTTTGTTTGGCATAAAGATACAGTACATATACACACATGTCACACTGTGCATATTTATAAATTGATGAAAGTATGCAGTGGTTTCGCCATTAAAAGGAATCCTTTTTCAACAAATTGTTTTACTGCACAGGTTAGTTCTAGTTGATTATTCAGTTTGCTCACAATTTCAGACCTTGAATTAGACCTCAGTTTGGAATAAAGTACAGCTAGTCGTGAAAAAAATTTTGTAAGTAAAAAAAATGTAATAATATTAATAATAACTTGAAATCATTCGCTCTGAAACACTGTCCAAGGTTTTTCTTTTACTTCTTCTGCAGTGCCTCCATCATCGAACGGAAGTTCCCCTTACATGACAGCTTCCTACCAGCAGAACTCGGTGCAGTCGAGAACCTACGAACAGGCCGGAGCCATGATGGAGTACACTACTTGCACAACTGCTGCCACGAACCCGACGTACTCTAATACCGCTGGCACCCTGCCATCCGTGGTGCAAATGGCACCAGTCGACGCCCCGACAGCCACTTACCACTTGCCACCGATTCACGCTGGGTCCAATCGCACCACTTCCGGACACACGCAGCAGCAAGCCGCTTCCGCGGCGTATTCCGGACATGAGCACGTCGTTGTTCCGGTCTCGGCGACGAAACGATCTTCGCGACCTGACAGTGAGTACCTTATATATTGTACATTACAGTACAGTACAGAAACTGCAATCTCAAGAACACTTGATGAAAATGAAATGAAGGGTACGTCTTGGAGCAAATTTTCGCTTCGAAACCATTGTTTTTAAACCGCACCAAATCCCGGAAAAGAGTAATAGATTGAAAGAGCAAAATTTAGTGAACAGCAGAGTCCATTGAGAGTGAAGCAAGCGTGTTCTTCGAGCCAATTTCCGTTTTCAAAATTGTACAAGTTGTTAGTGAACCGCAGCAAATCCCAGAAAAGGTTATTAGATTTAGCCAGCAAATTTTGAAGAACAGTGCAAGTACAGTGTGCAGAATCTATTTCAAAGAGTGATTCGTCGAAAAAGATGCCATGGTTTTTGCACAAAATCAGCAAAATAGACTACACTGTAGTTGGAAATCTTGAAAAACTTGAAAAAAATGGCGATATTTTCTTGAGGTGTACTTTCCCAGGTTACAGGAAAGGCAGCAGAATATTCAAAGATTTATTGTTAAGCTGAATACGTAAGACTCCCTAAAAATTCAGAATGTGTAAAGAAAACTTTCGTTTTTTAGCTTGTTTTAAAACAAAGAGCTGTCAGGGGGGACTGTATGGGTTTAGAAAATGAAAGTTATCAAGTCTCTCTACAACTAAATTCAAGGGACCAGAAAAAAGTCGTTGCAAAAAACCCTTGCGACTTTACGAACCCAAATGAGACTTTAAAAAAGAACTGTTTTAAATATGCGGATAAAATCGTTGTAGATAGAGAGAGAGAGAGAGTCCTTCCATCTGAATAAGTGGAAAGCATTCTCGGAAACTAAAAAATATGCAAATCTGAAATAATATTTCCCTGAAGTACGTTAAAATGTGTATTGAGATGTAAATAACAATAAAATATTATAATTTGGCTACATTAAATATTTTCGTTTCAGCTCTTTCGTTCTGTAAATCTTGCTGCGTCGCTTTTTTTTTGTGGCTTTCTTTGCATTTGCTGTTTTGAAGCTTTCTCGAATAAATACACTGAATACCTGTTGAATCCTGGAAGAATGATTACGTTTTTTTCCATTCAGGGTCCGATTCCGGAAATAGTCAGCAATCGAGGAGTTCCTCCAGGTCAAGTGCTAGCCGTCGAGCCGTGAGTCTCACATTCATGATAATATTCGAAAAATACTCTCACTGAACACAAATTCTCAAGATTTTGATTTGGTTCCACTTCAAACAAGAAAGAAAGCCTTTGCAAATGAGACACGATTTATTTTGCAGAGCACAGTTCGCCGGACAGGAGTGACGTGTGCCAATTGCAGCACAAACACGACCACGCTTTGGAGACGGAATAGCGAAGGAGAACCCGTTTGCAACGCCTGTGGGCTGTATTTCAAGTTGCACAATGTGAGTGCGAACTTTTTAAATTTCGGGTTCATGCGTGTGCCAATTTATACAGGGGGTGGATCAAGGGATATGCGAAGAGAATTCCTACTGGCACAGTCTATATCAACTTCATATCCTGTTGTTTTTTTCTCTTTTCAAAAACTGGGCATCTTCTTCACAGAAAAAAGCTAACCTTAAAGACATACAATGCTCTTTTTAATGCAGCTCAATTTTTGTTCAATGCCAAATATTTGCTCAACTTCTGTAGTCAGTTTTACAAAAATACTTCGTATATATGTTTCAGAATGCTCTCTAATTTTTTTATGAGTCTTAAATTATCCGGCTTGTAAAGTTCAGATTTTGCAGAAGAGTTTAGGCATGCATTATGATTTTAGAGAAATGCATTACAAAGAATACTCTGTCAAATTTGCACGCTTTTACCGCACAACTCGCAGAGTTACATTCATTCAAACGCTGCATCATTCAAAATATCAGCTTCATGAACAGTTTTTGAAAATAAAGCAAGTCTCGTCGAGCAAATTTTCTTCTTAAGTAAACTGTTTTCAAACCGCATCAAATCCAGGAAAAGGGTAGATTCAAAGATCAAAATTGAATTACAGTAAAATGCGGAGTAGAATCTATTTTAAAGAGTTCGTTGTAAAAGCGCGGCCACGGTTTTTGCACAAACGCATCGATTACATAGACTGCACCGTATAGTTCGAGATCTTGACAATTTTTCACATTTATGATAATTTGTTGAAGTTTACTTTCTCACGGCACGGGAAAAGGCACGGTAATTTTGGAAGATTTCTTTAAATTTTCCTGGTAGGCTGAATATATGTGAGACTTGCTGAAAATTCAGCATGGAAAGAAAGCTTGAGTTTAGCTTTTTTTTAAACAAAATGCAGCCGTAACTTCATTAATCAGGGGTTCTGTATTTTGCTCTTGGGTTCAAAAATAGTTTCGTGTGTTTCCTCTACAAAGAAATTTAATCGAGAATTTTTTTTCCCGAAAATGAGCAGAATTAATTTCAAAAATTTTCGTTTGCGCTTTAACGCCGAGAATTGAATTGAACGCCCAGCTGCGATCCATTTAATGGGCTGAAGTAAGTAATTTAGTGTTCTTCCTGTCTCCACTATATAGACACCTAGACCGCACACAATGAAGAAGGATAGCATCCAAAAACGGAAACGGAAGCAGAGACCCACAAACGGAACGGGAAGTGGGATCCCGAACAACTCGTCCCAAGCAACTCACCCAGTGATTTCAAGCAGCTCTGCAACGATTTCCTACGGAGGTTGATTCGCGGAATTAAAAAAAAATTTGCGCTCGTTTTTGCAAAATGATTTTGTTATTGTTCAGGTGTGCCACAAACGACCTCGTTCACGGGTTATTCGTCAACGATGAGCAGAACCAGGGATCGTTACTTAACGACCGGCGGCGGGTCTCAGGAGTTTTCTTACAAAACTCAACAGGAAATCAGCCCTGCTTCGTCATCATGTCGAAGTAAAATATTATAGATCTTCTAAGATAAAATTAAGGTTGTTATATACTGTAGTATGGGAGAATAATTTTTTTTTTCAATTTAATTTCAGCTAGTGGAACGACGGTTTCGTCTGGACTGAATTCCATCACATCTCCAGTTTCTACGGCATTGCTCAAATCAGAGGACGATCAGTACTCTGTGGAAACCACTTGCAGCTTCTACACGTAATTCTGAATTTTTTATTCTATAATTACACAATTGCAGATTCTTGAACTGAATCAACAAAAATCAGCTTCACTATAGTCAGTGGATAAGTTGAACCTCTCTAAGTAAAATTTTGAAATTAGACTTCAAGAGGTTTTGACTTGGGGAGATTTTGAGTTATACAGGTTTGAACTACAATAAAGAGCCCTTTTGTTCTGGAAAACATGGAAGAATTGCCCGAAATTTCAAATGGTGATGTTTTGGGGCTTAAATTGCTTCTCAAATTAGTCTACTGCATGTTGAACTTGGAGGCCAAGATTCATTCGCCCATTCAAGTCTTTACCTTCCTTTCAAAACAAATCAATTTTTGTTTCTATTGCATTTTAATTTCTTGTGTCAAGACAATAATAGCAAACAGGCCACAGCAAATTTGACACATGTAGGTTTGAGGGGGAAAGCCTTGGGCTTAAAGGGAGGTCTTTGATTTATTGTTTCTGAGGGGATGCAGACTGGGACCTAAAATTTTTGAATCAGGGAGGTATTCTACTCAGGGAGGTTTGAGTTATTGAGGCTCAACTGATGCACAGTATTTTCAAACATAAAATCGAATCTGGGTCTCTGATCTCAATAGTTCTAATCTGTATTTTTGGCCTTACAAATCGAGGTTGCTCGGAAACTCGGTAATTCTCATAAGGTGCGATTGTGCGACTCAATAAATTGGTGTAAAATATGAAAAAAGTATGTGTACAGTGTTTGACATCTACTTTATTCAACGGAATTTATGAGTACCCAAAAAGTTATGTGATCTCATGGTCATAATTTTATACAGTAATTCGAAAAAATAAAGAGACCTGAAAGCTATAGTCCATCGATTTGGCCAAAAAATCTGATCATTGATCGGTCACTTTTTGAAAATGTTTTCATTGATGTTAGTTTGCCTAATTCAAAATACGTATAATGCGATGAAGAAAGGTAATGTGTTTGATTTGAGTGCATGCAAAAATCAGATACTTTTTTCATGGTCAATTTACTGCAAGGTTGATGCAAAATATACTTATAAGAGAGTAGAAAGGCCTTCTTTGCTGAGACTTTTTTTTTAAATTAGCTAATGGATTGGTGAGAGAAATGCCCAAGAACTTTTCTTACATCAATTTTAGGGTTGGAAATGTCTATTTCTTGTAATTTGGCCAGAAACTTATTTACAATTTTATCACAAAATGTCCCTATGTTGATCCATCGTCCTCATGTTGGGCCTTTTTTATTGATTTTTATGGGAAAATAAGCATCCCTATGTTGAATTGTCTGCATGTCAAGGTGTCCGCATGTGGGGGTCTCACTGTACTGTACTCAAAATCAGGTGCAGCATCTCAATTACATTTTAGCTTCTTCATGTATCAATAATCTTTTTGTGTAAGAATATTCGAAATCTTCACATGAAAATGTCGCTACTTTGAAATGTGTTGGCAGAACTGGTGCAGCACCTACGCTTTGGAGACGGAATAGCGAAGGAGAACCCGTTTGCAACGCCTGTGGGCTGTATTTCAAGTTGCACAATGTGAGTGCGAACTTTTTAAATTTCGGGTTCATGCGTGTGCCAATTTATACAGGGGGTGGATCAAGGGATATGCGAAGAGAATTCCTACTGGCACAGTCTATATCAACTTCATATCCTGTTGTTTTTTTCTCTTTTCAAAAACTGGGCATCTTCTTCACAGAAAAAAGCTAACCTTAAAGACATACAATGCTCTTTTTAATGCAGCTCAATTTTTGTTCAATGCCAAATATTTGCTCAACTTCTGTAGTCAGTTTTACAAAAATACTTCGTATATATGTTTCAGAATGCTCTCTAATTTTTTTATGAGTCTTAAATTATCCGGCTTGTAAAGTTCAGATTTTGCAGAAGAGTTTAGGCATGCATTATGATTTTAGAGAAATGCATATGTTTCTTATGAGACAGTTTAAACGTGCGAAAATGGCGTGTTGAGCGTCTCAATGTAAGTAAGTTTGCGACGTAGTAAGTTTTATAGTCGAAGTACTTGTCAAAAACTTTTATTTCGTTCAGAGCACGAGCAAATTTTCTTCTTAAGTAAACTGTTTTCAAACCGCATCAAATCCAGGAAAAGGGTAGATTCAAAGATCAAAATTGAATTACAGTAAAATGCGGAGTAGAATCTATTTTAAAGAGTTCGTTGTAAAAGCGCGGCCACGGTTTTTGCACAAACGCATCGATTACATAGACTGCACCGTATAGTTCGAGATCTTGACAATTTTTCACATTTATGATAATTTGTTGAAGTTTTCTATTTTAAAGAGTTCGTTGTAAAAGCGCGGCCACGGTTTTTGCACAAACGCATCGATTACATAGACTGCACCGTATAGTTCGAGATCTTGACAATTTTTCACATTTATGATAATTTGTTGAAGTTAACTTTCTCACGGTACGGGAAAAGGCACGATAATTTTGGAAGAGTTCTCTAAATTTTCCTGGTAAGCTGAATACAGTATTTGTGAGACTTGCTGAAAATTCAGCATGGAGAGAAAGCTTGAGTTCAGCTTGTTTTAAAACAAAATTCAGCCGTAACTTCATTAATCAGGGGTTCTGCATTTTCTTGGGCTCAAAAATAGTTTCGAGTGTTTCGTCTACAAAGAAATGTAATCGAGAATATTTTTCCCGAAAATGAGCAGAATTAATTTCAAAAATTTTCGTTTGCGCTTTAGCGCCGAGAATCGAACGCCCAGCTGCGATCCATTTAATGGACTGAAGTAAGTAATTTAGTGTTCCTCCTGTCTCCAATATATAGACACCTAGACCAGTGTGTTACTTCTTCCTATCGTAGGTTTTTGCCTTTGCCTTCGTCTCTGGGTGTTTGCCTTGCCCTTCACCCTAGGGCTTGTTGAGCAGGGTTCGTTGAGTGGGTCACTAAAGTTCGTCGAGACGTTCGATTTCCTACGGAGGTTAATCCGCGGAATAAAAAAAAATCTGCATTCTTCTTCGCACTATCATTTCGTTTTTTTGTTCAGGTGTGCCACAAACGACCTCGTTCACGGGTTTAAGCAGTTGCTACTCGTCTTGGTCCCTAGCAATGAATTGCTGGCCGCCGCCCAGAGTCCTCAAAAGAATGTTTTGAGTTGTCCTTTAGTCGGGACGAAGCAGTAGTACAGCTTCATTTTATAATATTATCTTCTAAGATAAAATTAAGGTTGTTATATACTGTAGTATGGGAGAATAAATTTTTTTTTTCAATTTAATTTCAGCTGGTGGAACGACGGTTTCGTCTGGACTGAATTCCATCACGTCTCCAGTATCTACGGCATTGCTCAAATCAGAGGACGATCAGTACTCTGTGGAAACCACTTGCAGCTTCTACACGTAATTCTGCATTTTTTATTCTATAATTACACAATTGCAGATTCTTGAACTGAATCAACAAAAATCAGCTTCACTATAGTCAGTGGATAAGTTGAACCTCTCCAAGTCAAATTTTGAAATTAGACTTCCAGAGGTTTTGACTTCGGGAGATTTTGAAGTACACAGGTTTGAACTACAATAGAGAACCCTTTTGTTCTGGGAAACATGGAAGAAACTATATGGTAAACTTCTATGCTGAGGCTATTTTTTTAAATTAGCAAAATGGATGGTAAATTGGTCTGAGAAATGCCCAAGAACTTTTCTTACATAAATTTTAGGGTTGGAAATATCTGTTTCTTGTAATTTGGCCTGCAACTTGTTTGCAATTTTTTCACAAAATATCCCTATGTTGATCCATCGTCCTCATGTTGGGCATTTTTTATTGATTTTTATGGGAAAATAAGCATCCCTATGTTGAATTGTCTGCATTTCAAGGTGTCCGCATGTGGGGGTCTCACTGTACTGTACTCAAAATATCCACGTCGTAGAGTTAATGTAAAATCGAAGAAGTACATAGTTATTAGAAAAACACATTCTTATAAGCTTTAGAAGTGTACTTTTACAGCGATGAAACTTTACACAACCGTCTTGACCACGTCGTGGAGATGGACAACAAGCGCAGATCGTGATCGGGCCCGTGATCCCGACGCAACCCCAAGCGCTGCCATCTGTTCACATGTACCAAGATTCTGAACAAATGGGATCTATAGAGGGCAGCAGCGTAGGTGTGGTGAACTCAGCGGACATCGTGAAGCTGGAGGCAGACGTCACTGTTTCTCCGGCCTCAGTTCCGATCAAGACCGAACCGGAACTGGACCTGAAAATAACTCCCGCATCCGCCTGATGATTCACCATAGACGCGTTGAGTTCTTTCTGCGATGACCACATGAATCTGAGCAGTGAATCCGATATCATCCCGGTTATACTTGCATGAACATACAGTACGCTGAACTTATAATGCAGAAATCCTATAAAAAATTGTAGGAATAGATTTTTCTTGTCTCCTTAAATTCTGGGAAAGAACTTTATTTCTTTCGCATTCCTAAATCAAGAATGTCCGGAAATTTAAGAAATTCAGGAGATTAATCCGTCCTCTGAAATTAATAAAATTTGCCGAAGTATTTCTTGAAAAGAGGAATTATGCTTTTGTTGTTTATTTCTTTCGCATTCCTAAATCAAGAATGTCCGGAAATTTAAGAAATTCAGGAGATTAATCCGTCCTCTGAAATTAATAAAATTTGCCGAAGTATTTCTTGAAAAGAGGAATTATGCTTTTGTTGTCATTTGCTAAGTGTTTGATGAAGTCTTTGGCAGCTGGTAGAGGACTATTTAAATTAAAAAGCAATTTTCAATGCTTGAATAAGTTTGGATGGAACTAAATCACCAAGGGGATAATCCAATTCTGAAAAAGGAGGGCATTTTTTAGAAGACCGAACCGATGAACGTAAGATCGACTGATTTTTCAAAGCGTTTCAATGAGCAGCAAAATTTAAAAATCCCTTGAAACATTCCTCTGGATGCAGTTTTGATATAAACCGTGTTGTTTCATCGCTGTGCACATAGATTTACTGTATCATTATCGAGGTGAAAAAAGAGTATTTGCTTTTGTTGAAAAAAAACGCATTTTATTGATTCCATAAGTGAATATTGATCTGAGACATAATTCGTGGGATACTCCGGGGAAATGCTTCAGCGGTCTTTTGAAAAGGGATCGACGATTTCACCTGTCGGTGACGATCAGTTCTTCCTCGCCACAGGATCCCCCGATCCTTCGTAATCCGTGCCAGGAACAGCAAACAAGCTTTCTCTCTAAAAATTCCAGGGAGATCGTCAAGCGAGAGGGTGAAATAAAAAAAAATTGCAAAACACATATTCCTTCTACTCTCTGTGTCTTTTCTCTGTTTACGAATATTTATGGAAGAGAAAAAGCGTTTTCTTTCACTCTTTCTCTTTCATTTTTTTCGTCTGCGAATATTTACGGAAGAGAAAACGCATCTGGGGGTCGTGGGACAGCAGCTGAGCGAAGTCCAGGGTCGACAAGGTTTTCCTAGTCGTGCCAGAAATACCCGGAGTTGACGCCAACTCAAGTCGAAGAACCCACTCCCCGGGATGCTGGGTTTCTCAGCAGAAAAAAAAAATCAGATCATTCTTTTCAGTGGCTTGAAAAAAAAAACAGCTAGCGAAGAGTTTCCTCTTCTCGACACCATATTCCACGTGCAAATTTTCTGAAGTGAACTTGAACGCATGTTTTTTTTGAAAAAATGAAGTGTTGGGCTGTTATCCAAAGATCTTAATATCATATACGTGATCTAAGGAAGGGAAATTTGTCTTAGTACACTAAGACCTCGTTGTAACAAAATCCCAGAGACCTGAGAAAATTCTCGTGATGAAAAATAAGGTTATGATGAGATTCTCAGTTTTTTGAGCATGTAAGACTGAAATTTCATTGGAAACAAGAAATAAACCCTTCAAAGTGCTTCCTTGACAGATACACAATTGCCATGGAAATTCGAAGTGTAAAATACAGTTACCTTGATGATAACCTTTCTTTTTGAATTTTCTAAAAAAAGAAACTGATCATACTGATCATACTGAAGTACTGATCATACTGAAGGCTGAAACAAACAAAAAATGCAAGTGTAGAAAGAGCATATATTCATGCACAACTGTACAGGTGCTACCTTGCAATGTGACCCTAATCTGTTGCCAAACCAGGGTTGAATTGCAAATTGGTCAAATTGCGAGACACTCCATGGAATTCAAAAATAAGAGAACAAAAATGGAAAAAAGTGGCCAAAGCAGGTCAAATTGCTGGGAAAGGGTGGAATTGCAAGTCATCCTCCATGCAAATTTGAAGATAAAAGTGTGGGAGGTCAAATTGCAAGGCACCACCTGAATGATCCCTGAATTAGAGCATTGTCCTTGAAAAATTTTCAATTAGCCATTTATAAATTCTAAAATGAATGCTGGATTGATTTTGATTGCTTCATAATTCCTGCAATGCTAAATTCCTGTATAAAAAGAATAGCATTCATCTTTGTTTCAAGATTCAAAATTATGCAGACATTTTCAAATCTTGTGCCTTGTAAACATTTCTATATGGCCCATGCACACATAGTCTTGGCAAGCAATTGTTGCACTGTACTACAATTATGAAATGAATTTAGTTTGTTAAATGGAATTTTTATAACGTTGTCCCTCCGAAAAAACTGCTGAGATCAAGAAAAAATGCTATACAGTAATAAAAAATTCGTTATAGCGAAAGATTCGTTGTACTGTAATTGAACTTCACTGTACCAGGGTTCTAACAAAAGTTCTTGGAGTAGCAATGAAAATTGTGTACAATTGAACTGAAAAAAAGTATTCCTCAGGAAAAACATATTCTTTGGTACGCAAACAAAAATCAGCCCGGTTTGACAATTTTTTTGCAAAATTCATCCCAATAGTGTTTTGCTCTCCACTCAAAATATGAGGCGCTCTTTTCTATTGTAGCCCAGCTTTCCCCTCAGAATTCTTGAAATCAACATGGCATTCATGCCAAGGGTCGCCTCCAGGTCATCTAAGGTAATTCCGCCATTTTCATCAACAGCCGCCTTCGCAGCCGCTAAAATGGCGGCCAATGTGGCGACTGTGAAGGCGGCTGTTGATGAAAGCGGCGGAATTACCTTGGATAACCTGGAGGCAATCCTTGGCATGAATGCCACGTTTATTTCAAGAATTCTGCGGGGAAACCTAAGTTACAATAAAAAAGGGCGCCTCATCTTTTGAGTTGGAGAGCAAAACTCTATTGGGATGCATTTTGCAAAAAAATTAAAAATAATTGCCAAACCGGGCTGATTTTCATGTGTGTGCCGAAGAATATGCTTTCCCTGAAGAATAAATTTTTTCAGTTCAATTATATGCCATATTCATTGTTTCTCCGAGAACTTTTGTTAGAACCCTCGTATAATAAGAATACCTCTGACGGTACTTGGGCACACGCCAGATTATGGGTCCATCGAAGAAACAATTGTGCGGGTGATGGTGTTGAACTTGAACTTCAAGCTATAACCATAATTTTGAAAAAAAAAAATCAGCTGAATATACAACTGATTTACCGAAAACGATTCGCATTACAATAAGTCTTATACGAGCAAGTGAAGAAATAATGAAATAAAGCGGCGTCTCGTGCAACAAACGACTCAAACAACAAGCCGGTGTTTCTCAAATATAAATTCGTCGTTGGAAAATAAATAAATTTTTCAGCTACATATTTGAAAACCGGCGCATCTTGAGATTGAAACACAACCAAAAAATAATGCTGCTGAAGATATTGTGTACATACATTCTACAAAGTAAATTCTCCTAAACCTTTGGAACAGGGTTTGAAGCTCTCGAGAAAAGAGTTTCTTGGTCTCTATCCATGGATGACCGACAAAGTTCCAGTTTGATCGCAGAACGAGAAGAACTTTACAGGTAGGCACAACAATATTTGAAATGTCTTCATCTCTTTTTACGTGAAATTATTGTTCGTTTAGTTTTTCGCACAGAATGTTTCTAGCCTAACTTGTTCGTCATCGTCATGATCACTTCGACGTTTGTGCACTCGTAAAAACCTTAGTATTTAATGTTTTGTGTGTCGTCTTAGACTCTTAGTGTCAGTGTTTGAGTCTATTAGGACGGATCGTATTACTGTACTGCAAAATTCGTAATTAACTCTAATTCCCCGCAGGGTTGATGCCTGAGACCTGATTTATAGGTTTCTCGACCCCAGTATCGGCCTTGTTGACCCGCGGCTATACGTTAGCTATAAAATCCTCGTACTTTCCGAGGACTGAAGCAGATACGGTAAGACATGCATGGAGTGATTCGTTTTTCCACAATCAAGCTTCATGATGCTTTAAATTTGTGTCAAGAATATACTTTACGTGAGTTTCCATTCAGCATGAATTTGAGCATCATCAGCGAATAAGACGGAAATTCCGTTACGAGGAGGACAAATTCGATGAAATTTGCAGATGAAAAACAAGCTTTGGTTATCTTAACAGATGATTTTATTTTGATGTGCTCAAAACTTCGCGATACGATTTGAACAGAACAATGACACACTCAAGATCTATCGATGTTTTTGCGCTATTGGTCGATGGTCGATGAAGCCTCGTGGAATAATTTTTTTTTATCTCCGAGTAATCAAGAAATAATTTATTTCCCATTTACAAGTTCTAAAAACTGCTCGTTAAATAAATCCTCTTTCCAGTGGTTTGTTTTCAAAGGATCAAAAAGGCGATTGCTGGGATTAAGATTCAAAAATATATTAAATTCACTGAGAAAAAAAGCTTTATTCGTCTTCACCTCAACCTTCTTTTCCGGGAAAATGTATAAATGACCAATTTTTTAAGTTTTAAAAAAATAATAAGGTACATGGGGGATTTAAAACCTAATGTAAATTCCAATCAAAACTTTTTATTTTTGAGTTACGCTGCTGAAAACTTAACCCGCGTTGTGCATTTTTTTGCGCTAAAATGATGCTTCGAGTGTTTAACGTTTTATATTGTAGATCTCCTTCAAGAATTCATTGAATTTTTTGCATGTCTATTTTTTGCTTTGAATGAGAACACAAAGAGAGAATTCCTGAAATAAAGACTTCTTAGGGATTGGTATTCTTGAATGTAGCAAAAGATAGACAAAAAATAAAGACGCAGTGCCAATCAATGGGAATCGCCCGCGGTTTCCATCAGTTTCTTGATTTCTTATAATAAAATTCATTCCTTTTCTAGAAAATGCATGCAGTGTTCATCGCAATTGAGTTGCACGAGAAAAGAAGATCATCAGCCATTTCTGCAGCTGCGCATTTTTCAAATTAGCGATAAAAAACATTTTTTTCAGTACAGAATACTTCCAC